GGGAGAGTGGCAAGGAGGTAGCATAGAGGGGGAAGCCTCTCAGCCAGGACCCACAGAGTTCTGACACTTATGCCAGGTTCTCCTCGGAAGTAAGAGGGAACAGAAAGCAAATGAGGAACTGCAAGATCCAACAGCCCCTATTTCAGCTAAAGAGAAAGGAGGAACAGAATTATACTATTTTCACCTTCACGACTTTTTTTTCTAATTATAAAAACTGAACATGCTCATTGAAAATGTTAAAATTGGAAACAGAGAGAAGGATAAAGATGAAGTTATAAATTTCCTGTAATAACACCATCTAGAAATATTCACTTCAAATATTTTGATATTTATTCTTAACCTGTGCTTGTGTTTTGCAGCTGGCTTTTTCACAAAACAGTATGTAAGGAACAGCTTTCCGTGTCAATGATATATTTCTAGATTATATTTTGTCATTCCTGACAGCAAGACTTTCCTCATGATTTCGCATTTTCTGGCAACTAAATAAAATGGAAATGTGAAGGGAATTTTTTCTCATCCTACAATACAGAAATGGCACCAGAGTTCATATATGATGTAAATGTATATAGAATTCAATTATTTCTTTTATAATTCCAAATGAATGAAAGTTTTTCCATTTAGTTTATGTACTATTTGTTTCTTTTAGGCAAGGGAGAAGGTTGGATGAAAGGAACGAGCACAGACTTTTGGGGTTCCTATTTGAGAATTATCTCAGCATTATCTGATGATAATGATGATGACAATGATAATGACAACACGGATGATAATGATGATCAAAGATCTAACATTCTCTGAAAGCCAGGAATTTCATAGTTTTCTGCATTATTTCCCACTACAGTCTTGTGGGTTATACTCATTTTACAGATGAATGAACCAATCTGGCCTCACACTTCTTATAAGCAGAGAATCCAATTCTAGCCAGTGTTTTCTGATTATACTGGGTCCACTCTTTCAGATGATGGATTTCCAAGGCTTCGCCAGTGATTGTTACAATCCTTCACAGTATGACACCTGTGCCCAACAGGAATCCATTGGTTATTCACTCAGTACTATCCCTTGATCATAATGGTGATGATGATGATAATTATGATGATAACAGCAATGATGGTAATGGAAAGGAAACTTTATTTTTGATCTAAGAGTTTTATGTCCGGACACTCCATGGGTCTCCAAGAAAAGATTTATGCAAGGTCACGTACTGTAAGGGGAAGAGTCCAGATTGGAACTCAAGTTTATCTGACTCTAAGGTCATATACATAACCACTTTGCCTTCCTAAACCCAAGAATGTGAATTTCATCTTCACCTTATTGCCCAACCAGAAAAAGTGGTAATGATTTCTCAGATGACAGACCTAAAGAGCAAGGGTCACAATGGCATTGCTTCCTCCACCATCAATGCCTGAAAAAGCATCTTTGTACCAATTCATAACTTGACTGCCATGGCCCCCAAGTTGTGGGCTAGGACTACAGCGCATGGGGTTGTTCAAACAGGAGGCGACACCCCTTTCCTCCTGAGCTGTAGGGTCACATGTCTTTGCAAGCTTCCTCTACCTGGGCTCTCTCTTCTACCTCTGGGTCTGGACTGATGCAGACATCAGAAGCACTGCATCAGGCACACACAGAACTAAAGTCACTACAGAACCACCCAAACAGGCCCAGACACAACAGAGGCCCTTCTGGAAGTCTGAGCAAGGTGGGTGGGAGAGGCATGACAGAGATCTTGTCTAAGAGCTATCCCCGTTTTCACCCCAATTGTTTTGGGAGCTATTTCACTGGACACTGACAGAAGGGTCAGCCCTTCCTGCTTTAACTCTAAGTTACCTGATCAGATCCAGTTCAGGCAACTGCTTGGCCAAAGACTATCAAAACCAACATCTTCAGTTAGTGAATTCTGAAGTCTTATCTTCTTCCCTTAAAAAGTTCCCATCCTTAGGTAGGCAAATTCCTAGGTATTTTATTCTTTTTGATGCGATGGTAAATGGGATTGTTTCTTTAATTTCTCTTTCTGATGTTTCATTGTTAGTGTATAGAAATGCAACAGATTTCTGTATATTAATTTTGTATCCTGCAACTTTACCAAATTCATTGATGAGCTCTAGTAGTCTTCTGGTAGCATCTTTAGGATTTTCTATGTATAGTATCATGTCATCTGCAAACAGTGACAGTTTTACTTCTTTTCCAATTTGGATTATTTTTATTTCTTTTTCTTCTCTGATTGCGATGGCTAGGACTTCCAAAACTACGTTGAATAAAGGTGGTGAGAGCGGACATCTTCGTCCCATTCCTGATCTTAAAGGAAATGCTTTCAGCTTTTCACTGTTGAGTATGATATTAGCTGTAGGTTTTGTCATATATGGCCTTTATTATGTTGAGGTATGTATATATATGCAATGGAATATTACTCCATTAAAAAGAATGAAATAGGGCTTCCCTGGTGGCGCAGTGTTTGAGAGTCCGCCTGCTGATGCAGGGGCCGCGGGTTCGTGCCCCGGTCGGGGAAGATCCCACATGCCGCGCGGAGCGGCTAGACCTGTAAGCCATGGCCGCTGAGCCTGCGCGTCCAGAGCCTGTGCTCCGCAACGGGAGAGGCCACAACAGTGAGAGGCCCATGTACTGCAAAAAAAAAAAAAAAAAAAAAAAGCCATTTGCAGCAATATGGATGGACATGGAGATTATCATACTAAGTGAAGTCAGACAGAGAAAGACAAATATATGACATTGTTTAAATGCGGAATCTAAAAAAAAGGAATTTATTTACAAACCAGACTCACAGACTTGGAGAATGAACTTATGGTTACCAGGGGGAAGGGTGGGGGGAAGGGATAGATTGAGAATTTGGGATTGACATGTACACACGGCTGTATTTAAAATAAAATGCCTTTCCATAAAAAAAAAAAGCTTTTCAAACAGTGAAAACAAAAGTTCCCATCAAGCCCCCTTGTGAAAGAAAAAGGGGGTAAAGGAAGTCTAGTGCTCTGACCTGCAATGGGGACAGTCCTTGTCCTCCAGGTATGTATGTCCAGGACAGCCTGGCCTTCAGCCTAGAAGAGTCTGGTGCCTGCTGCAGGCTGGAGCACAGAAACCAAAGTCAGACCACCCTGGAGAGGGATGTGCCTTGGGGGAGCCCTTCCACATCCTGCCCCAGTTCCAAACCTCAGTGCCAGTGCACTGGATTCATCCCATCTTATAATGCTGGCAAGTGAGTTCCTGGACCTTCATCTCACTCCAGCCTGACCAGCATCCATCAGGCTGCCATAACTTTGAAGAATGGGCTGGTGACATGAACACTCCCCCCACATGGCATCACACAGTGAAAAAATTTTTAAAAAGCCAAAGAGCACAGGGATGGCTCATTGTTTTCTGAGCTGAGCACAGGAGAACTTTAATATATTTTATTCATATTGGAAGGAGTGAATGCATGGCCAAACATTTTCTTGATGGTGTTCCATCAAGAAAAATGCATCTTATATAGTTCCCCCCTTGATTTTTTATCTTGTCTTTGTTAAAATGAATCTTTAAAATTTTATATATAAACCTGTCAACCTTTTCCTTTAAAAGTTCATACTTAAAAAAGATAAATGCTGTTATAGGCTTCTACTTCCTGAATTTCAATTAAAGTTCACCAGTATTTTCTTCTAATTATTTTACTTTCATATTTGCAATAATGGAAAGCATACTGTATATACCAGTTGTCCTCATGCTTCAGTGTATATAGCATCATCACCTGGAGGAGTTTGTCACCTGTTACTTCTACAGCCCACCTCCAGGCAGTAAGTCTTAGGTGGGGCCCAGAAATCAGTATTTTAAAGATGCTCCCCAGGTGATACTGATGCAGGTGATTATGCATGGCTTTGATAAAACATTTGGAGTGCAATCCATTCCATGAACTGTTTCTTTCTGGAATTGCTTGTAATAATACCAGAAAAAAAGACTTGTGGAAGATTACTGAGTCAATAGCAGAATTTGGACAAACCTACTGGCTCCTTAGCAATAATCAATCAAGAAATCAATTAAATATTGAAACATGATGTGTTACAAGTAGGTGGGATATCAGGAGGAAAAGATAGTCTTTGATCTGTAAGGAAAATATAATTCCTAACATTTACATAGAAGCCATTCTATTTTAAGTGTATTTATAAAGTTTTTGCCTTTCCAAGTTTTTTTTTTTTTCACGTATCAACTGGGGATGGGATGGGGTGAAGGGAACTGTTCCCTTAGATCTGTTTCCTGTACTGCTTTGTGCAATTTATGCATATTCTGAGTCTTCTGAACCAGTAGGGCAGGCCTGACAAGAGCCTTCAGGGAGAAATCATCCCACAAGAGAAAGAAGACGAAACCTCAGTTCTTAGACTTCGAGCAGCAACTCTGACTGTAGCATGACATCTTTTGCTCAAATTTGAACCCTGGTCCAACCCCCAAAATGGACTCATCATGTCTGACTCCTATGGAGGAAGTGTCCTGTGGCTGAAAATGGAAGGGGCTGTTTTACTAAAAACTCTGCTTAACACTGTGGCACAAGCAATCCTGGAACAGTCCCCACCTCTGTTAAGCATCACTATAAAGCAGAGAGAAGCTTTAGAAGACAGAGTGGGGATTCAACGCACTGGGGACTCCAGGAAACTCAACGGGGCTTTGGCACTCAAGGACTCCACTGCACCACCAGCAGCAGGACCAGCAAAGAGTAAAGGGCCCAGCAGAAAAGGCAGCAGTGCCCAGCAGGCCTGGCAGGACCCAGGGGAGCCAGGGGTGGGGCTCAACAGCAGAGGCCTGGCATGGAAGTCCCCACCTCCCTGCCTATTGGACTTGTTCCTGAGCACTGGTTGAGTCATGCCAGGACCCTCCCTCCCTCAAAACTGATGTTCTGTAGTGGGTTGGGGTTCTGTATGCATAGGTGGGAACAAGAGTCCACCAAGCACAGCTCAGAGTCACCTCATTTCTTCCCCACAGCAGCCCTGTGAGGCAAATGTTTTCCCATGAAAAGACTGAGTCTTAAGCAAGTGTATCTGTAATAACTGCCAGTTTTATTCCTCTGGCTAAGAGATCCAGAAGTAATTTGAGGTTTACATTTTTTTTAAATAGTTCTTTCATCAAGAATTTAGGTCCCCCCATTGCCCTTATAAGCTGGTTGCAAATTATTTGACTCTTAATTATAAAAAAAAAACTTTAATTCTTTTTGTATGTGTGACGTGTTCATTAAAAAATACATATAAGCAAAAAGAAAAAAACTCACACCACACAGAAATAAGCAGTTAAATTTTTGATATACGTATGTATGTATACACACGCACACACACACACACAATCTGAGATTTTCTCCTACATATGTGAGCTGATACTAAATATGCTGTAACCTGTTATGTTTTACTTTACAATATGGAATGAACATATTTTCATGCATATGTGTGAAACTTCCCAATTGAAAAACAGACCTGGAGAATGTGTCAAAATACAAAATCCAGATGCTGGTAATAAGGACACTACGTAAAACAAAACTCCACCACATGATTAAAAATAAAACAAAAGTCAAGATACATCAGAAAATGCTAACAGAAAGAAAGCAGGGGCCAGATTTTAATATCAGACCAAAAAAAAAAAGAATTCAAGGCCTAAAGCACACAGGATAAGGACGGCTGCGTGAATGTCTTTGTTTCCAATGCATCATCACAAACTTGTTTCTTACTCTTCTTATCTCTTCCCTAAGCCTTTCCAACTCATCTACTCCTCTTAGCATTTCTTCTGGGTCCAAATGCCTAACCGGAGTGTCCTCTTTATATCCCTGACCAGGCTGAGTCAGCCCTCCTCTAAGGTTTCCTTCTGCTTCCTGGCTTTCACCTTCTTCAGACGGTTGAGGATTTCTTTCTGCCTCCTGTGGTACAGCTTCCATAGGGCGGTCTTCCTCAGCCTTTGGCATGTTCTGTGCTTTTCCTTCATTTTCTTCACAAGACTTTTGCATGTTGAGTATTTTTCTCTTATTTCCTTTTTGAATAAATTAACCCTGGAAAACAAGGAAACAAAACGACTAGATGCCAGGCAAATGGACCAGCAGTCAGAGCATGGGTTTCCATAGAGACTGGCCTCTTCACATTCAGGTCCCTAATTGTCAAAGTTTTCCAACTAGAGAAGACTAGATCCTCAGGCTCAGAACTCCCCTGGCCCCACCCCTTTCTCCCCCTCCCCTTTCTCCCCCTCCTGCTCCAGCTCCATCTTCTCGCTCCCGCTCCAGCCCACCATTTCCCAGCAGGCCCTGCTACAGGCCTCTCCTAGCACCGAAACGGGAGCAACGCGGAAGCAATTAACCCCTCCCTTGCTTCGGGTCTCCCAACACTCCCGCCCTTATGGGCTTTCCCAAGCCATTCCAACCTCCTGCCTCTCACCTGAGACCGGCTGGTCCAGTCTCTGGCCTCCCCTCCCCCTTCCACGTCTCTCCAGTCTCCTCCCCCCCGCCCCCGCCCCATTTCCGTTGCAGGCTCTGCACAGGCCTCCGGCGCTTCAACCGGATGGAGAGAGGCGGCAGCGACCCGGGATGGGCTTTGGTGTCATCCGGACTCACACCCTCCCCCACGGCCACCCCCAGGGACCTGAGGCAATTCCACCTTTACACTGACCTGCAGGGATCCAGGGGATTTTCCTCCCTCTTCCCTCACTCGATTTGGGTCGCTCCCAAAAGACCAAGAGTCCTGCAGACAGGAGTGCTTGGTGAGCAGGTCAGTACCTGAATCACGGGTCCCTTTCACGATTCTAGGCCTTGTTCGTCTAAACTTTCCCCACGTCCTCATCCTCTCCCTCCTTTTAAGGCAACCCCGCCCTCCTTCCCCCGTGCCCACCGGTTCCCTGCAAGCAGGGAGTGGGAGACAAGTTATTTCCAAATTGTTTCTATGTCTCTGTCTCGGGACCCTCAATTGGCTGCCCTTCTCCCTCTCCACCCCCACCCACCCCCAAACAGCCCCAAATTTCCTGCACAAAAAAGAGTTTGGCGGAACCGTAGTGTTGGGAAAGCGGTACCGGCCACGCTTGGTTTCTGCTCTCTGACTCCTAGGCCCTAGGGTCCCGAAGGCAGCGCCCACCTTTATACTGACCTCAAAGGATCCGGGGCACTTTTCTCCTCCAGCAATAGGGAGCTGCTACAGGGAAACAGGCCCTGGACTATAAGGACTTCTGCACACGTCGACTCCTGGTCACGTGAGGGTCGCGTCATCAATGAGCTCGAGTCTTCGGTTACCCCTCCCATTTAACACTGCAGCCCGCCCCCTGCGTTCCCTCCACTTGATATGTCAATCTTTTTTCGTATTTGCCAATCAGAGACAACAAAACTGGTATCTTCTCCCAGCAGTTTCTACTCGTTTTTCTCGGGTTACCAGGGAGAATCAGCCTCTCGGGGTGAATCGACCATTTCTCGTTCTTCTTTGGGGAATCATCTCTCTCTCCTGCTTCCAATTTGACCTCCACGCCTCCCCCAAGGTCCTCCAGTCCACCATTTCCCTTGGAGTCCTGTCTAGCATTAAAATGGGGGAAGGTGGTAGATGGGGGCGGGAGGGCGGCTAGAAAAGAATGTGGGAGTGAGGGTGTGGGATTTTTTTTTACTAGTTCTCTTGAACAGTTTTCTGCTTTGTGTAATGTTTTAAACAATCAGCATACTTTTTAAAAATGATTTTTAGGAAAGAGATACCACATAGCAATATTTGGCACAATATGGAGGACAAATTAGTTACATGAATTTTTAAGACTTTGGAAAAGTTTTCTAATGGCTGCAAATGAAATGACAGTTTTCACAACATATTGATCTGTTAGAAAAGCTTTTTAAAATCTTATTAAAGCAGCGCCTTTAAAAACTGACCCCAGGGCTTCCCTGGTGGCGCAGTGGTTGAGAGTCCGCCTGCGGATGCAGGGGACACGGGTTCGTGCCCCC